AATACAACAGAGGATGTGTTCTTCAGGCACCAGACCCAAGTGTCTCTTCCCCCACAACGAAGAGTTGTGCTGTATGAGCCTGTAGCTAAGCACGAAAGCACCGTGACCCAGTGTGTGACCCCTGGGGAGCACCTAAAGTGTGCAAGCACCAGTTCCCACAAACAAGTGTGCCACACCTAGTCGTCATAATTGCCACAAAGACAAGGAAGGGGGAAAACCTTGAAAACTTAGTCATGGTGAACAAATGGGTTATAAATTCATGGAGAAATGTTCCAAATGATTTGACCTTAGATGTTCAACTATCAGATATGACTGAAAAGTTTGGTTACACAAAAAACTGCTATGAGAGTGTGAGAAGGAGGCCTTATACCTTATCTCTTTGGAATTCAATTTGACATCTGTCCTAGATTTAAATGCACACATCTCTTCATTCAGCATCTCATCCATAAACATATTCTCACAAAGATGCACAAAGATGTCACCGCAGAGGAGATTAGAACAGTTTTAAGAAATGACTCAAAGGCCCATCAACAGGTGACCATTTATTATATAACACATGTTTAACAATTCATTACTAGGCAGCTCTTAAAAGGACAAGCTTTCTTCGAGGCATATGTGCAAAAAAAATTGCACAGGGAACTTTATTAACTTTTTTTTCATAAAAGCCCCAGACTGGAACCACCCAAATATCCATCCAAGGTAAAATAAGCAAATTTCAACATCAATACAATAAACACTACTTTACGACAATGGTAAAAGACTGAATGGAGATACATAATAGGAATGAATTTTAAAAGCATTCTGTAAGGCAAACACATCAGACGCAAACAGGTATGTAACTGATTTCATTACTTGAAGTTCAACAGGGGAAAGGCTCCATAGTAACAGACAGAACACTGATCACCATGGGAAGATGCAGAAGAGTGGCAGAGGAAGAACTTCCTCTGGAGAGGAAGAGTGGAGAGGAGTGACCTGGTGTATTGTAGGGTCTCTGTCTTTGTCTAAATCAGTAAGTTGCACATTTAAGATCTGCAATTCACTGCATTTAGTTTTTCCTCAATTTAAACATGATGAACTATTGAATTTTTTAAAAAAAAACAAGTCAAACTTAATATGTTCTGAATTGGAATGATCTTTAAAGAAATTAACTGGTGATACAGGTGTGGAAACAAGGATCCATGTAATCTGCTCCCACTTGTAACAGGATATGTATTACACACTTGTATACATGTATTATTTTAAAAAGAATGCACAAGAAACTTCAGAAAGAATGGGACCCTCAAGTTTGTACTGTTGGAAATTCTTTTATTGGGTTCACATTACTGTCTAAATATAAAAATTTCTTGTGGAAAAGGGTGTTTTCAGATTGAATTTTTATATTGACCTACCCTGGATTGCTAGCCATAGGCACACAGTAACTGCTCACTTCATACTACCCCCAGTGGGCAGCTGTCTCTGAGGGTGGAAGTGGATATTTGGACAAGCATATCAGAGAAGCACCTGCAAGCATCCTGAGTCAGGAAGCAAGATTCTAAGTCCTGGTTCAAGATACCAAGTGAAACAGGCTGATATCTAATTACAAGACTTCTGCCTAAAATAATCTACCTGATAAAGAATCTGAAACCCCTCTCATGGTTTGGAGGAGAGGATTTATCCTGGTGGACTACTTTTTTTAATGTGAAAATAAGCTTTCTTGGTGGAGTGGAGACAAGGCTCTTTAAGGCCTTGGGGTGAGGAGCAGAATCCCAGGAAGAAAGGGTTCAATCTAGATGTAGGGCCACCAGGTGTGTTTTTTTATCCTGACAGTCCAGCATTGAGATTTTAGCTCCACAACCAAGACCATATCACCAAGGGCCTTGCCCAAGAATGTTGGGGTTCATTCTGACAATGGGACACTGTGTTAGTGAATTGATCTCCTGGTTTGCCTTCAGAGTAAAGCCTCACTCTTAACTTAGCATGGGAGATGTTGGGAAGGAGGGACAACTTCATGGTTCTGGAAATGTCTTGTTGCCAGATGAGGATGCCCAGCTCGTCCCCCAGGGCAGCTGTTGGCTCAGAAGGAGGGGGAGGAAGCACCCACAGAAGCTCTCAGTTCCAGGACCAGGATAAGGGGAACGCATAGCTTCCCAATCTCTGGCAAACCAATTCAGAGAATAAACTTAGTTGGGATTACGTGTTCTGTTTGGCTAATTCTGGTCCCAAATGTCAGATTCAGAGGGGTAGAATATCTTTACAAAGTGTTAAGGGCAAGAAAATGTTGGGCAGGAAAGGTCTGAAAGGGAAATGTCTTGGGCAGGAAATTGTCTTGGGTAGAATGTCTCTACAGAGTGTCACAGCAAACAGAGCAATGTCTTAGGCAGGAAAGGTCTGAGTGGGCTCCTGGCCACTGGCTGAGACATAGAGGGGAGCTTTGGTATGTGTGATGACCTGTGCTTGACCCCGGGCTGAGAGTATAGGAACTGGGGATTAGATTTGCATCGGCAGTTGGGTTAAAAGGAGTTCATGACACTACAAAAAGGTCCCTAGAACTCCTGGGTTTAGCCCCTTCTCCATGGGAACCGGGGTACAAAGAGTGGATTGACTGCTTAGAGTCAGATTTCAGGTCAGTCATTCACACTCAAGCTTCCTCCTCATGTAGGTCTCCGGGAAAGGGCCTTGCCTCTCTTCAGCCCAGGAAGCAGTGCTTCAGCTCTTGACCAAACTCCACCTCCTCTCTCACTACTTGGGAACATGTTTCTACTGAATTTCATGGACAGGGAGGTTGGAATGAGAACAACCCTGCAAAAAGGCCATAGTACCATCCCCTACCTGCCACTTTTCTCCTCTCCCTTTTGTTCCTGACAGCACCCCGACTTTGTAGTAGGCAGAAATCTTGATTTCAGGAAAAACAGACCTATTCCCCAAGCCCAAGAAATGAGTTCCTTGACTGGTCTATATTATTCTAATTCCCCTTTGTTGATGATTAGCCCAAGAGTGGGCGTATGACTCAATTTTGACAAAAAATAATAGGAGATCTGTGATGGCTTCTGAGAAAGCCTTTGCTTTCCCAATAACATTCGGGAAGGATACCCAATTGGCACCCTCATGCCCACACCTACACCCCCTTTCTTCCTGCTTTCAATGCAGATGTGTGTGTGGTATCAGAGTCAACGTGAAGTAAAGGCACATGCCCCTTAGGGTGACAGAGTGGACAACAAAGCCAAAGTCTTACTGGCCTGATGAGCTACCAGACCCATGCCAGCATATATCTGCCTCCAGACTTCCTGTTAAGTAAACACTAAATGACCTCACGTCATTAGCCCCATAGCTAGGCTACCTCTTACGCACAGCCCAAAGTGGTCCTAATTGACACCGGCCATAAATGTTGATGCAACTCCAGTCACCATCAACAGGTGCATTCAGAACAAGCCTTTGATTTTGCCTCCTAAGCCTTGGATCTGCCCTCATGAAGTCCCCACTCAACCTTCCTGTCATCTCTCCACCAGCAGGAGCCTAGCAGAGCCCTTTGCCATCACACTGAATCCTTTCCTATCCTATCCATAGTAAGATCATTCACCTACCTTCAGGCCACACTTCAGGTGGCCTGCTCTGGCCTTGAGGGCAGCAGAAGTCCTCGGTGAGCACTTGGGCTATTGGAGCAGTGGCCTAAAGAGCAGGACTTAGGGGTAGGTGGGTTTTTTCTCTTGGTGGGAAACAAGTAACCCTGTTCATGGAAGGACATTGGGATGGACTTTCTCTTGGTCACCCACCTTTATCTACAGGACCTACATGAGCCCTTAATGCCCTTAATGCTAAGAACAAGAGAGAGCCTGGAGGTAGATCTGGGGTGGAACCTTAACTGCACAGACCTGATGTGTGACTTGGACACCTGACCTCCCTGAGCCCCACAGGCCAGCAGCTGAGAGTCTCACAAGGATGCTGCAGAGATCCAGTGGGAGAACTGGTGGTGCACCTGGTGTGGTAGGCCAGTGGACTCAAAGGAGCAGGGGGTGCTCATTTAGTGCCCTCCCTGCCACACACACACAGCAGGAAGCATAGGGATGGCCAGCTCACTTTCCCACGGGAGCCAGGTAGGGTCAGAAATATTCCCACCAAAGGAATCACATGCATGCTTTGTGCTTGACCGGCTTCTGTGGGTTCCTATACTTTCTCCTCCCCTGAAAAGGGCCCTCCACGGACCTCATGCATCTACCATCAGTTTTTTCAGAGCAGCATGAGAAGCAAAGAAAATGGGGCTGGGAGGCAAAGGGGGGATGTCTCCCATCTCTCTTTCACAGGGGTCCTGAGGGCCCCCAGAGAGAGAGTTTCTGCCCTGAACTTGTGGATAAAATTGCTCATGGACAGGAGATATTGGTTCCAGAGCCCCCAGGCACTGTTGGTTCTCAGCGAAGCACTGTTGCACCAGGCATGGCTGCCATGGCTATTCAATGAGGGGAAGGTTTCCCTGGGACTTGAACCCCCAGAGTGACTTTGTGTTGTTGTAGGTGGGGGAACATAGTGGCCCCCAAATAGCTATCCCTGCCCCACTTGGAGTATGATCTCTAGTCATGTGAAAAGGCATTTCTGGGAGAACTAAACCAAGCAGCTGAGAACCAACGAAGAAGAGAGGAGACTAGAGGATCCCAGCTAGGAGATTTCAGCAAATGTTTGCCCAGACAACAGGGGCACCAAGCGATTGAAGAGGGCACTGGGAAAGGGGTCTAAGAGTGACTAAGGGGCTGGAGTGATAGCACAGTGGGTAGGGCATTTGCCTTGCACGCAGCTGACCTGGGTTCAATTCCCAGCATCCTCATGGACAGGAGATATTGGTCCCCTGAGCACCGCCAGGAGTAATTTCTGAGTGCAGAGCCAGGAGTAACCCCTGAGCATCACCATATGTGACCCAAAAAGAAAAAAAAGGTGGACTAAGGGGATCAGTTTAGTCACAGGTATGCTGTGGGTGATGTCATCGAAAGTACAGAGTTCAAATTCCTCATCCTGGATACAGCATGATTCTCCTGCTCTGTCCAGGGGTACTGATCTCTGTTCCCCAGCAGCAGCAAATTCTCTCCCTGCACTGGAGTTTCCCCTTCAAAATAACAGGAATGGTCAATCCAATGCAGCCCAAGTGAACAAAAGAGTCACAGAATCTGGAAGGTGTTTCTTCACTGTCCAAGCTGAGGATCTGGTTCCCACTTAGAAAACCCCAGGACTAAACAAGTGGACACCAGAGCCCAGTGTTGGGTCAGCTGGAGGCAAAATGGGAGCAGGAGCCTGCCCACTCCCGAAATAATGGCAAGGTCCCCAGAAAGAAGGCGGCACCAGCCTCCTGAAGGCCCCCTTCACCTCTTGCCTGCCCTGCAGCTGCTCAACCCCATCTTTGAAGCACAGTCTAGGCAAAGAGGTGGCCCATTGGCTGGGTCTTGAGGGGGTGAGCATCACTGAGTCACTTCCAGGCATGGATCCCAAAGCTCTGCTGCAAGGTAAGTTCCAAGAGTCTTCAGGAGGGTGGGGCTATGTGGCTGGTCTTGAGACTCTCCCTAAGTATCAATATGCGTCATATTAGCCCAGTCAGGAAAGTGATCCAAGTCAAACATGACTCGTCCCCAGGTGTTGACCGCCAGGAACACACAGCAGATTCCGATGATGTTCATCATTAGTCCGGTTTTCACCTGGAAAAATACAGGGACCTAGTCAGCCCTGTGGGATCTGCAAGACTGTTAGAACCAAGACGAACTGGATGTTGGGAACTAGTGGGAGAAGAGCGGAGGCTGGTTTGCTGGGCCTCCCTGATCCGGGATGTGCTCTGCTCACCTCACCCCAGGGAAAGCAATGTACTGTCCAGTTAACCCTCAAAGGTGGCCACACGAGCAGGACTGGTCTCTGCCCAATCCAGCATCTGGGGCAGTGGGCCTTGAGGAGACATTCTAAGGCGACTGCCCTCAACACTCAGAGAACTCCTGGGGAGCCCAGATCTCACTGGGTCCAAGTGTTCCCCTCCACACCTTAATGGCCCCACAAGAATGCGTGGTATCCTGAGACCCTTCTCTGGCTCTTACTGATAATTGGCTGCTCTGTGACCTCTGCTGCCCATGAGTCATGGCTTTCAAGCCCCACAGTGGAAGTTTTATTGCAAACTGGCATGGTGTGGAGCCTGCAATGCAGTTTCTGGAATCTTCCCTCGGTGAGACTGCCACCTGCATCCCAAAGATACCCTGGTCAGGCTCTGAGATAGTAACTAACAAGCTAACACCTGACAGACCAGTTGGCCTCCATTATTCCCAGCCTCCCTGTCTTGCACACTTGCCTCTCAAGCCCAGGAGACAGGCCTCTTTCTCCTGTCAAAGAGCCAAAGCCCAAGCAGACAAGAATTTCTCCTTGTCATGTTTAGAGAAACCTTCGGGAAGAGGCTTCTCTGCCCTGTACCCCCTGCAAAGGCTTCTACAAATCTCTTTGTTTGTGACTGTTATTGTATCTCCATCCCACCCGCAATCACAGCCTCACATCTCCTGACTGTCCTCAGAGGTCTAGTGAGACTCTCTTGACCACATGGAACCCACAAACTCCCAGTGCTAAGTGGGGACCCCCTAGTGGCTACAGGAGCTTTTCCAGGTAGGAAACAAATTCTAACCCAACTCTCAGCTTGGGGAGACAGTTCATGAAATTTGAGATCTTTTCAAGAAGGGGGAAACATTGCATATAAATGCAAGCAATGAGTATAGGTCTGGACATTTGGTAGTATTCTCTGGTCTGTTGACTACATGCATGATCAATGAGCACTCCTCAAGACCGAAGCATCCTAGCCTACAGAGTACACAAAAGCAACTATATTACCATGTCAGAAACCTTGAGATGTCCATAGGCAAACACGATGGCATTAGGTGGGGTGGCCACAGGCAACATGAAGGCAAAAGATGCACTCAGAGTACAGGGGAGCATAACGTAGAGCGGGTTGAGGCCAATGGAACGTGACTGGGAAAAAACAACATGGCAACATTATGGATGTAGAAAACCAAAGCTCCCAGGGCCACTTCCAACAAGCAATCCCCTACGCACTGTGTGTCCCACCTCTGCACCTGGACCCTCTGTTCCTGGTCATGTCCCTGCATACTGACTCTGCCAGGCCTGCAGGCCAAAATCAGACCCACCACTACACAGGGCACCTACCCAGGCACCTACCAAATCCCAAAAAACATAGCCACCTAGACATGTAGTTTCCTGCAGTCCCCAAGTGCTTGGGTCAGTTTGTCTATCCTGCCATTGATGAGAATGCCTAAAGGAGCATGGCATGGACATAACCTTTCTCCTTTGTAGGCATCTACATATGTATTTGTCTTTCTGCATGCTGGCATCATTTTTCACATGGAATTCTGTATCTACCTTCTTGACTCAGAACCATAGAATTTAGCCACATTCTCACCACATGTTCAGTTGACACCAGACTCAACAGAACTCTTTGGATCAAAGGAATTAAGAACATTGCACATGGCATCTGTGTGTGTTTGTCCAGGAAATGGAATGAGAATGAAGATTCAGAGAACAAGACAAGCTTTATACATTGGTTATCTATGTACCTATCCTCACTTTCAGAAGTCTAAGGTCATGTGGATGAGAACTCACTGTGAACATCATAAAGTTACAAACTCACATTTGTGCTGGAGTTTTCCTTTCTAGTTGCAGTGTATTAAGTACACTTGCATAATTAAAAATAATTCAGCCACATGTAAGAGCACCTAACACTAGATGCTCATTAAGTATTTGTTGGATTAATTAATAGTATGGCTTGCAATATCTATCAATATCTTTTCAAATAAATTGAAGGTTTATGTACATAGGAGGACATATATATGCAAAGATGTTTGTTGTAGCATTATAGCAGCAAAACACAGGAGACAGACTTGACGACCATGATTAGCAGGATGGTTTTAAAATGCATATATGGAAACAAAGGAGTCCTTTGAAGAAGTAAAGAAGAATTAAGTAGGTTTACACACTAGCATAAGACATCTCAGATCCAGGGGGCCAGAGTGATAAAACAGCAGTTTGAGTGTTTGTCTTTGCCTTGCACATGGCCGACCTGGGTTCAATCCCTGGCATCCCATATGAGCACTGCCAGGACTAATTACTGAGTGCAGAGTCAGGAGTAATCTCTGAGCATCGCTGGATATGACCCAAAATGGAAAAAAAGACCTCTCAGATCCAGGAAATTCAATAGTTAAGGTAAAGAACAGTAGCTTGGAATGATAACATTTGTTTAAAGAGAAGGAGAATAAAATACATCCAGAAAAGATACCTAAAAACAGGGCTAGATAGTTCAGTGGGCTGAGATCATGCTTTGTATACAGGAGACCACAGCTGCAATCCCTGGCCCCACTTGTCTCAGGTGTGACCCCTGAATACAGAGCTGGAAGAGCCTGATCACTGCCAGATATTGCCCCCAAACAACAAACCTGCCCATCCCTCTGACCAGAAATTTCACATTGCTAATGTGCCTTGGGAAAATAATCAGAGATGTCTACAGGCATCTATTATAAAGTTACACACCACAGAAAATTAAATTTTCATTTAATTAATCAAGATTAATTAAATAAAACAAGTGTCTGGGAAAGTCTAAAGGCTATGGTCTATATATGCTTCTGCATTATTGTACACTTCTTAGCCATATGTATGTATTACATTTTTTGAGGGTCACGCCTGGAGGTACATAGGGCTCACTCCTGGCTCTTTTCTTAGTGGTCACTCCTGCAAGTGCTTGGAAAACCACATAATGGTACCAGGGATTCAAATGGGTTCACTGCATATAAGGCACTGCCCTAACCCGTGGGCTAGCTCTCTGGCTCCTGTGTTACGGTTTCAACTTAGGAAACTATACATGTTTCCATTTTATTAGATATCCTTCAAAACTATGACTTTTAAAACTAGCTTTAGGGGCTGGAGTGATAGCACAGCAGGTAGGGCGTTTGCCTTGCACGTGGCTCACCCGGGTTCAATTCCCAGCATCTCATATAGTCTTCCAAGCACCGCCAGGAGTAATTCCTGAGTAGTGCAGAGCCAGGAGTAGCCCCTGTGCATTGCCAGGTGTGACTCCCCGCAAAAAAAAAAATCAAAACAAAAATAGCTTTAGAGTATTTGTATGAAAATATATATGGTAACATTTCTCCAGTGCCCTTTCATTGTAGAAGTATATATTTATAGTAAGTCTGTGGTGTGTATGTTTATAATAGATGCTTTTAGATATCTCTGATTATTTTCTTAGGAAACATTTGCAGGGGCTGGAGCAATAGAACAGTGGGTAGGGCGTTTGCCTTGCATGCAGCTAACCCGGGTTTGATTCCCAGCATCCCATATGGTCCCCCGAGCACTGCCAGGAGTAATTCCTGAGTGCAGAGCCAGGAGTAACCCCTGTGCATCACCGGGTGTGGCCCCAAAAAGCTATATAGATATATATGTATATGTATACATATATACATATATATATACATACACATTTGCAATGTGAAATTGCTGGGACCCGTGGTGATGGATGACGGGCACTGGTGGAGGGATGGGCACTTGATCATTGTATAACTGAAACCCAAGCACAAAATTTGTAAGCCTATAACTGTACCTCATGGTGTTTCACTAATAAAAAAAGAAAAATAAATAAATTAAAAAAAAAAAACTGTAACCTTTAAAAAAAAAAAGAAATTGTTGGTCAAAGGGAGGTGCAGTTATCAAGTTATGGCTCCTTTTAGTCAAAGAGGTTTTTTGAGGGGGGAGGTCACACCCTGTGTTGCAAGAGGTTACTCTTGGCTCATGCACTCAGGAATTACTCCTGGCAATGCTCAGGGGGACCATATGGGACACTGGGAATCAAACCCAGGTCAGCCGTGTGCAAGGTAAATGCCCTACCTGCTGTGCTACTTCTCCAGCCCCATAGTCAAAGAGTTTTTGAACCAGCTGCCCAAATGTCATCCTTCCAGTTGTTTCTGAGAAGCAGGGAACCATGTGTTTCTGGCTCCATCTTTGTCCTGACCTTGGGGATACATGGTATGCAACCCCTTACCTCCCCACCCCACGTGCCTGCCCCAGCTGAAGGCTTAAACCCTTTTCCTCCCCCTCTCCCCATGGGAGAGGCCTCAGAGGTAGTCCTGAACAAGCCTACTTAAAACATCTCTGCTTCTAGAGAAGCTTGTTCCATCCAGTTTAGTGCTTGCAGGGCTTCTGCCAGAACCGGGAGTAACAAAGCCAGACCTTCAGGAGGGCAGGGGAAGCCCCCCCAGGCCCACTCAGTCTCCAGTCCTCCAGCCTGTGTGCAACATTCTCAGGAGCTGGAGTGTAACTTGCCATGATAAACTCCTGGTCTACATTTGGAATGGGGAGAGTGTTGCTCTGCTTTTAAGACACGTGGCACCCAAGCTGTGTCTTAGTTGAAAGGAACCTACTACATATTCAGGTCTCTGGGATTCTGACCCACAAATCCAGCGTGAGCACCGCAGCCCCTCTAGGTTTTTGCTGTTTTCTGTGCCCGGGTCTTATCCTCACACATCTAGGAGGAAAGAACTTAATTGGTGTGTTCAAGGATCCTATGGCTGGAACTTGGATCTTGGGTCTTCTGACCCTAGGTCAGGACTCTTTCAGTGCCAGCCTGAGGCAGGTACTTCCATGTAATGAGTGAGGGAAGTAAATGCAATAAAAGACCATAATGGACTTTCCTCTGCACTTCACTTTCTTTTCAGCACCAACGCAAACACTTGCCCACAGAACCAAGCTCTTGAGTCTACCTCCACCATCATCCACTCCTCTCTGATCCCTACTCTCTCTGCTCTCCAAGCAAGGTTTCAGAGAGTTCCCAGTCACCTGGGTCATGCCATCTTCCCAGCTGTCCTCTCCCCTCCTAGCATTTCTAACCCATACCTTCCCCTAGTCCTCTTTCTGCTCTGCAGTCCTCCACGATTACATACCCAGAGACCACCCTCACTCCATGTTGGCATATTCTGTTGCCTTAGATCTCCATTACATTTATACACTTTGAGCATCTTGTTTGTACTTAGCACCGTGGTCAGTCTGCAGGGAGCAAAGAATCAATAGAAATACACTGAGGGCAAGTCCAGGTCCACAAAGGGCACATACATCCATGTTCGAGTCAGGACCAGACCAGGATCTCCAAGCCTTGAGGCACCTGGGATATGGGTACAGGTTGACAACATCCCATGAAATGATGCCTGAGAGTTGCCAAGGTTACTTACCATGGAGGCAAAGATGGGCAGGAACAGGGTGGTGGTGGCCACATTACTCGTGCACTCTGTGAACACAGCAACGAGCAAGGACAAGATCAAGGTGATGGCTGCTGGTGGCACAGCGTGCAAAGGCTCCATCTGCTTCCCCATCCATTCAGACAGTCCCGAAGCCTGGGAAGCACCAGATAGGGAGTCACTGCGGTGCCACTTTTTAATTCCTCCAGGGCCAGGAAGGACCCTCCTCTCTCTCACCTCCACCCAGCATCTTCTGATATGTATTCCACAGTAATCTCATCCATGCCCACAATTTCACTCTATCCCCAATCTTCAACCTCCTGAAGATGTGTTTCCAACACAATCTACTGTCTGGATTTATCCGTATTACTTCTAGAAATTTCCATTATATGTCCCAGAAGCATAAGCCTCAACACTCAACATGCCCCAAACCATCATGGCTACATTCCGGAATCTGCCTCCTACTCTGAGCTCTCAACTTAGTGAATTAGCTTGCTGTTCATATACTTTCTGACCTAGAAGGCAGGGAAATTTTCCTGGGCTTCATTTCTTACATCTAATCAGTCACCAAGCCACCCCAAACTTCTCCTGTCCATCTTCTGTTCTAAATCAACCATGGTTGCCAGAGATGTCAGCCAGGAATTGAGAATTTAGATGTCATTGTTTGAGCTAAGGTTTGGTCTGAGGAGAAAATAAAAAGTGCAGAGAAGAGCCCAAGGATAGTCTCAAGGAACAGTGATATAGAAGGGACAGCTATTTCAGTCAACAAAGAAGGCAGAGAAGTTACAGGGGTAAAAGAAAATCAGAGGAAAATGGAGATGGGAGAAGAGGGGAGCTCAAGAGGAGAAGGGTCCAAGGACTTCAGTGCTCTGGGACTTGATTACTTGATTTCTCGATGCCTGCCCTGCCCAGGCTGCCACTCCAGACATCAGAGTGAAAATCCTCTCCCCCCAAATTCAGATCCAACCAAGTTACTGTAGGGCCTCAACCCTTCAGAGGCTATCTGCAGAATAAAGGCCAGACTCTGTATCTTGAATTCAAGGCCCTCTGAAGTGACTGTTGACCTCACCAGCCCTATCTTCTGATCAGCTTCATGCAGATATAGATATCAATGCTTCTTTACTCATGTGTAACTTCTTCCTAAAATGCTCTTCCCAATATGTTTCCCCTTCAACAGTGAAGCCCTGATATATTTCCTTCTCTAGGCTATGATATCTTAAAAAAGGAAGGGTGGGCTATGTTTCTTTTTTTTTATTTTATTGAATCACCATGAGATAGTTACAAGCTTTCATGTTTGGGTTGCAATCGCACAATGATCAAACACCCATCCCTGCACCAGTAGGGTGGGCTATGTTTCAATCTCCCTTATGAGCACTGTGTCTGGCACAACACAGACAAAAATAGGAATGTTTGATAAATGAATTATGGAGAGATGACTAAATAGATGAATAACCAGATGCACAAGTGACTGGATGAATGGATCTATTCATCCCAGTATTCATATACTGACTAGATACCAGGCTTTGTCCCAGCTGAGGAAGAAACAACAACATAGATCAAATCGCTATAGTCTATTCTATTCTGGGTGAATGGATGAACACATGAATATATTAGTAGGTGGGTGGATGGATAAGTAAGTAGATAAACTTATGGATGGATGGATGGATGGATGGATGGATGGATGAATGGATGAGTCAATGGATAGACAAGTGAACGAGGAGTATCGCAAGCTGGTTTGTCCCTCCTCCTAGTTCATTTATTTCCTTGGTGGAAAGAAGAAAGGTAAAGAGTTTCATTTGGGGGAGCTTTCCCATAAAAACTGTTCATCTCCTCCATGTCGCTACACCTAGCTAGAGAAAAACAAGTTGCAATAGCAACTATATTAAACAAACTGTTCAGTCTTCACTTGCATTTGAAAGATATACCTAGAATAAATTGAAGTAGAGATTCTCGTTATCTGCCCCTTTGGGCTAATGAGGGCCACTGATTCCCTTGTTCCTGTGAGCTCTTCAGGAATATTTTCTCTACTCTAGGCCCCATACACAGAGGAAGGCTTCTAGGTGACAAGATAGTGTCTCTGTTCTCAAGATGTCTGCAGTTGTGCGAAGAAGATAGAACCCAGAAGCCTGCAGGCACAGCCCAGGGCATAGGGGAGGAGAAACAGCAGCTCTTGGGCCACCGTCATCCTCTCAGAAGTGGACTCTGGGTAGCGCATAGCTGCAGAGGTTACCTCGCATCCTTTAGCCAGAGCAAATCCGCCCCCCAGGAGGAGCACAATGCCCCATGGCACCTTCTCCTGGGTCACCTTCCAGTTTAGCAGTGCAGGGGGATAAAATGGAGTTTTCCTTTCTGAGAAGAAATAATAAACAGATACAGACTCACAACTCAAAACATAGAAAGCAAAAGAGATATAATCAAGGTGAGTGAAGGCCCATAAGTCATAATTGACAACAACTACTGCATTCTTTGCTGGTAAGAATATGGTTAAACTATTGCACATAATCCCAGTAGATCATTTGAAAAGCAATTTAGCAATATATTTTAAGAATTATTAAGAGATTTATGTCCTTCACACCAGGGACATTCCTAGAACTTATCCTAAGGAAAAGCACCCTAGGAACCTGGGCTATAATGCAAAGGGCTGGAGCTGGAGGATGGTTAATCAGCACCACACCATGTGACAGCGACCCTGAGCACCACACCAGGAGCAGCCTCTGAGCACTGCGAGGTGCTAGTCCTGCTAAAACAGAATGGGAAAGGGAAGAAATTCCCACAATGATGAAAGTATTAATTTATTATAATGATTCAAAAACAACCAGAATGTTCCATAATTGGAGAATGCATTTAGCTCCTTTGTGTTCTCCCATGCCATTATTAAAGAAAACAAAGTTGAAATTTCTGGCAATAGTGGGAAATTTCTGTAGTGACACCTCCAGCAAAAAAAAAAAGAAAGAAACAGGATTCTAATTGTGTATGTTTGGATTAGAGGTATCTAATATGTGCATTATCAAGTCAGGGAAGATGAGGAAAAATTACAGATGTCATTCTAGCAAATTTGAAGCACTTTTATAATCCTATTATAATATAAATAAGATTTCAAATGCTGAAAAAGCAAAAGAGGGGGTCAGAGAGATAAAACAGGGGTGAAGTACTTGGCTTGCATGCAGTATACACTGGTTTGAACCCTGGCACCACATAGGGTCTCCTGAGCACCACCTGGAGTGATCCCTGAGCACAGAGCTAAGAACAAGCTCTGAGCACCACTGGGTGTGGCCTCAAAATAAGAGGAAGAAAGAGATTTGCTCCAAACCACACCTGGGGAAGGCTCCACAGCCGCCCCTTTCATAGGCTTGCAGCCAGACCTGTTCATTGGGGGGACACGCTCACCTTGGCCTAAGCCTCTAGAGGAAACCTTTGAGGAGGCCATTGCACATGGCAGCCAGCACAGGAACCTTACCTTCCTCAGTCTGACTGCAGAAGTTGAACTTGGGCTTCTGTGAAGGGACAATAAACAACAAAATGGCCACAAAGACAGCCACAGTGGCATCCGAGGCATACCTAGGAGGGAAGAACAGAGCTGCAGTGGCCGCCACCATCCACCCAACCAACCCCAAGCTCTGACCTGAGGAAATAGGCTTAACTGGGGCTGAGAACTGAACTGCGAAGGCCCAGACCAAGGGCAGTGTGGGGTAGACTGAACCCTGGGTGGGAACCAAGGCCCCACATCCTTGTCGTGGCTCTGCCACGGGCATTGGGTGAGCCTGAGCAGCTCACTCCCCTTTCGGCCTGCATTGCTCCCAAAATGGACTTGTCGACCTCTCCTGCCAGATTCTCGAGAATTCTGCTCACGAGGGCAGCCATGGGGACTTTGGTCCTGACCCAAACAGACCTTCCAAAAGGAACAAACAGTAACTGCAGCTGTGTCCTGCCCACATTCTTCCAGTACGTGAAATTTCTCAACCTTCCTTCCAGTGTGACCCTAATCGCTTATTAACCAGGAGACAAACCACAGAGCCTCTTTGTCATCCAGTTTCTAAGAAGTTTCTGGACTCCCAATTGCATGTTTTCAGAGGGACTCACCCTGATTTGAAGAGATGAGAAAGGCTAGATTGGGAAAGAGCTAACATTTGGAAACCAGAACTCTGGGAACCCCGCTTTCCAGCCCAGCTTGTCTCTCTGGCCACCCCACCTAGCCACACGGTTTCTCCTCAGCCTGCTGGCGCCTTGTTGTGAAAATGAGTGAGAATAAAAGGAGTCCCAGAACCAACAGAGCCCTCCAGCGCTCCCTGAGCACAAAGCGGGCCCAACCACTTACTTCGTCTCACCCTCTGCCCAGGCGAGGGACAGCCAACCGGGCATGAAGCCAGGGTCTCGGGAGAACCACAGGCCCACCAGCAGGAGGAAGCACAGCAGGACATTGACCTCCGCAAAGGAGAAGGGCCCCAGCTTCCTGTACTCTTCACGCAGCAGCTCATACGCAGCCTGCTCGTTTGTCCTCCTCTGTAGGCTGCAGCCCCAGGACTTTTTAAAACTAGAGGATGCAAAGGCAAGAGGGAAAGGGCAGGTTGGTTAGCATGGGGGCCCCCAGGACAGAGGAATGGGGCAATGAGTGGGGAGAGTGATGGGCTGAGCATTCGAGGCAGAAAGGAGCAAGGCGGAGGCTAGGCTGGCAAGTGCCAATGTCCTGGACACTGACATTGCCCCCGTTGTCTGCGGGAAGGCCATGAGAAGTCATACAGACAGCTCTGGGTGAGACCGGTTCCCCTCACCAAGACTTGGAGCTGCCGTCATGGTGTCAGGGTTTCAGCCCTCGTCAGCTGGTAGTTCAAGGGGATGCAGGGAGCAGAGGCACATAGGCAGGCAGGTTGGGCACACAGGAGCGGGTGGGTGCTCATGTTCAGAGGAGCTGGAGATGTAGTCGGGATCTAGTGAACTTGGGATAGCAGCAGGCTTGGCTATGGCAAGAAGCTTGTCCAGGCTCTGTTTGGATGGACTTCCGGGCACCAGTGCCCAGTGCCCAGTGACAGACACAGTTGGCTTTGGGTGCCCTGCAGAATCTCCCTGAGGTATTAGCATGAGGAGGAATCCTTGGAGGGGGTATAGTGGTGACTTAGCCATGACAGGGACTAACCTGGGCCACTAGAGCCCGGATGCAGTCTCCAAGGGACGTTCTGAGGTTCTATGCCCACACTCTGGCCACTGTCAGCCTGTAGGTGGAGGGCACGATCATGTCTGTTCCCTGAGATCTCTTCCTGTTGGAGTCCTTCCTGGTGCCCCTCACCCTCTCAAAATCTCTCTGTGACCAACAGTGATGGGTGTGGGTCAGGGTGGGTGTGGACTCTATCACCCTCCTGGGGCCCCTGCTGGGGATAGACCACAGTCCCATACAGCCTGCTGGACTCGGGCACCAAAAAAGCAGGTGACAGTGATGAGGTCTCAGACCTGCACAGCTGCTGGACTCTCCATGCTGAGTGGGCAGGGATATCACCCAGCCAGGCCCCCCTTCAGGGCTAAAGTGACACACAGCCTGTCCCTTGGCCCCATGTCATGGGGCAGGCTGTGTTCCACCAAGTACTAGCCTGCTTCCAGGTGTTCAGGGTAAGGGGTGACTTTGGTGCCCCTTGGTGCCCAGCCCATATTGGTACTGGGGGATGCCATGCCAGTCATTGGAGCTAAGCATAAAAAGTGCCTGCGACAGGCCTCCCTGTGCTGCATGGGGTGGTGCGGGCCCTTGTGCTACAACAGCATGTGAGAAAAGAGTAGAGAGGGTGGCAATCCGCACCCCAAACACAGGCCGACTCAGGAACCTCCAAATCCTGGCTGGTCTAGAGAGTATCTGTGCCACAACAGTTTCCCAGCTGGAAGGTCCCCAGAGGGGCCTCACGTCCATTTCTGGAGCTTGGCTTAGCCCGTGTGCTGCTGGGGTGAGGCCAGCTTTCACTGCTTGCTCTACTCATACACTCAGCAGGTTCTAGGAATTCAGGGCATCCCCTCCCCAGGCTGAGGAGAGGCCACATCTGCTGGCGCTGACATCCAGCTGACCCTTGGCTTCCAGGCTGTTCTCAGCAGCAACCTCAGTCTTGTCACAGACTAAATTGCACATTCCCCAAACATCTGCTACAACCTTAACTCCACCCTGGGATGATACTTGGTGGAGGCGCCTTCCAAGATTGTTCGGTTTAGATGAGGTCATGAGGACGGGAGCCTCTTGAGAACATGCATGTCCTTTTGAGATGGGAGGGCATCGAGTATTCCCCAGCCATGCAGGACGCTGAAAAATCAGCCTTTTGTGAGCTGGGAAAAGAGCCCTCAGGGAAACCCAGGCTGCCCTCTCCGAGACCTTGAACTTCGGCCTCCAGAAGTGTGAGGACAAGTGGAAGCCCCTTGCTCTGGGGGATTTTGCCTGGATCTGTCCTGTGGTAATGGACACCAGCAATAGAAGCCAGACCGCCTGGGTTCAAGTCCAGTCCCTTGACTTCTAAACTGTCCTGCCCTGGGGAGGCCACTGAATCTCTCCCTGCCTCGCTGGTCTTCTCTGTACATCAGAAACAGCAAGAGCACCTCCCTCACTGATCGACGTGAAGACTAAACTCAGTCATGTAGCGTGCCCAACACATTGTCCAGCGTAATTAGTACACAGCCATGTTGGTCTTTGGCATCACTGTCACTTATTAAGGGGGCATAAATATACACCTGCAGCCAGTGACAGTGCTGAGCAGGCTGCCCCTGGTTTGCTGGCTGGACACGAATGAGCAAGCAGGACTTTGGTCCTGGAGCAGTTTTGAGAAATGGACAAAGAACTGCCATCTCAGCCAAGCTGGGCAGTGAGAGGCAGGCCATGTCCCTCTCCCCTGGGGCCTGTGTGTGCCAGGATGTCTTCTGCCCATGGGTCGATCACAATGTATGCTTTGATGACATACAGAGATTTTCCCAATCCACACTGGTTTGAGGGTGTCACCCACTAGCTACACAGGCCCTTCACTTGTCTTTTCCTCTGCTCCCTGTGAATTAAGGCACAGAGCCCAGCACTCAGGGCTGAGAACCTTCAGTATGAGAGGGTCACCTTTGTACTCTAGATAGATTTGTGTCTTTTGAAAATAACAACCACCTTTTCAGGGGCCTGGCAAATCACACATCACGGTTTCTGTCCAAAGTCTGGCGGCTGTAAAGCCTGACTCTGGTGCACTTGTCTGAGTGTCGGGAACAGGAAGGTAAACTTTCCAGAAGCCAGCCCGTCATCGGGAACATTGCAGGTATTCAGGGAAGATCTGGGTAGATGGATTTGCATGTGGCCAGGCAGTCTGCAGCGACCTGGCCTAGTGGCCACCGGAGACCAAGGGGCAGTTTGTCCAGCAGTCTCCACCCCTCTGAGAACCAGCTGCCCTGTTCATTTGGACTGGATTGATGGCACACCTGCTCTTCCTCCCCCTGGTAGCGGGTGGGGCAGGGGACAGGGAGGACTGCTCATGGGCCCAGGGAGGGCCTAGGAAAGGCGCACAAAGAAGAGGCTGCAGGGGCCGGAGGAGCAGGGCTGTGACATGGCAGGAAGTTCAGGCCCAAACCAGCAATGTTGGGGCTAGTATCAACTGGGGAAGAAGCCACGCACTGGCCTTGGAGGCTGAGGTAGAGGTAGGAAGCCGGGAACAGCATGTGGGAAAAGAAATGGCATAGGCAAAAAATGGAGTGCCTGAAGGTTGGGTTGCCAGAGACAGGGTGCAGAAGAAACTAGGCTGGGACTCTGGGGGTCCCACAGAGCTTTTCTACAGGGACACGGAGTGAGGAGGGGGCCACATGTCAGCAGCTCAGACTCACCTGAATCCCAAGTAGATACACTGGAGCCACAACCAAGCAAGCAGCAGCATGATCAGCATGTTGGGGAAGGCGAAGCCAAACCATGAGGCAAAGTTGATGAGGTCTTTGCTGCGGGGAAACAGTCTGCAGGGAGAAACCTGGGTGCACATCTCCGACGAGACTGGGCCCCCGGGCAGCTGGCCAGAGCACTGGCTGGGGGCAGGGCCACTGCTGGCACCACAGCCCCTGCAGGCCAGTCACCCCAACCCATTGCCTGGCCTGACCCCAGTAAGCAGAGGCCCCAGAACATGGCCTCGTGGCACAAGATAAGTCTGGGGAGTGACCAACTGACCCTCTCGTGGGCCCAGACCTTGCTGGGAAGTTCCTGAAGTTACTGCCTTCCTCCAGAGAAGTTACATCTTCGTCCTGGACATCTTTTTATTTTATTTTATTTTTTTGCTTTTTGGGTCACACCCGGCAATGCTCAGGGGTTACTCCTGGCTCATGCACTCAGGAATTGCTCCTGGCCGTGCACAGGGGACCATATGGGGTGCTGGGAATCGAACCTGTGTCGGCCATGTTGGCTGCGTGCAAGGCAAACGCCCTACCCGCTGTGCTATTGCTCCAGCCCCCGTCCTGGACATCTTAACTGTTACTGTGACCCCATATGGGGCTGCATGACTGAAAGTGGAACTTGATTTTAAAATTTTCTTTAGGTTTGACTATCAGTCAAAGACCTATTTTATATGTCTGGGAATTGCATAAAAATTTCTCAGGCAAAAAGGAGTTGGGCTTGGAGACAGTTTAAGAAACCCTGCCTTAGTACACTCCTAACTCTGGAGGTGAACAGGGCAGATGGCAAGGGGGGGAGGAAGGAGGCAGGATTAAATAGGACTTTTGCAAGGGAAGGGGCCTTCTTACTCAGGTGGAGCCAGAAGACATTTCCTGGGGTCTGGAGGAATGTCACTTGTATTCCAGGCCCAATTCCCCCGCCCCACATTTTAGCCCTGTGGCGTCCAAGCAGACACCCAGCTTTCCCCCGCTGAGCCCAAACAGGGAGGACAGGACTGCAGGAACACTGGAAAGAGCCATGAGACTGTCATTACAGAAAACACTCCCTGCTCGGAACAGTCTGCTGCTAGGACCTGATGCTTTCCTCTTACCATCTGGGCACAGGGCTGCAGGGGCTGCAGGGGCTGCAGGGGCTGAGCCTATCTTGTTTTGTTTCATCTCTTTGTGTCATTCCCGCTCATTCTACCCCGTGGACTCATTCATGCATTTGGTGGACCTGCCTGTGGCTTTCCACCTGCCTCTCTCTGCAGGCCAGGCAGGGCCCAAGTTTTCCTGACTTCTGCCATCCCTGCCCCCTTGGCATCTGAGCCAGGCCCAGAACTGGAATTCTCAAGGTTGGTCTCCTTTTGGGCCAAAGTTGGAGGCATCCAGACCATTCCTGCAGTTTCCCAGCAGCCTCCGAGAGGTACTGATGTCACCTTCCAGGGAAACCTGAGGGGCTTGGCAGGATCCTCCATGTGACGGGCCCAGTATTATTAACAACTGAAAATCTGGGAGCCAACTTGCAGGGCTGCATTTCTTCAAATAGGTAGGGCTATTTTCTTCAATTTTGGCCAACACCCAGCATCTCACACTACCTCATTGTACCCTACCACATCAGTCCCCAGCTCAATCCATGTTCCTGTCGAGACCCTGAGCCCAGGGAAGAAAGGCAGGACTCTCCCCAGCAGTAAGCACCAGCTATCTGCTCCCACCCCAGGCGTCCTGTGGGGGAGCAGGGCTGGGCTCGCAGAGGCTGGCAGGAGTATCTCCTCCCACACCTGCCGTGGGGGGGACCCAGCAAAGGAGGAGGGAGGGGGTGGGCCATCAAGCCCGATTCCTGTCCCCACAAGGCATGGCCAGTGACTCACTCATGCATCTGGCCCAGGAGCACCACATTGGGTCCCGTCCCGGTCAGGGTGGCGGTGCCTCCGATGCTGGCCGCGTAGCACACGCACAGGGTCATGGCCTTGCACATGCTCTTCCTGTCACGCTCCTCCTGCTGCCCGGTGGCAGGGCCTTCAAAAATCACTTGGTTCCCTGTGGTGGGCACACCTCCATAAGCTGAACCGGCCCTGGTGACTGCCACCCAGCTGCTGACCTGTGAGGGGGGCCCCCGCCAGTTCTGCTCCCCAGGTGCTCCTTGGCATCCAACCCCAAGTTCCTGTCTGACCCGCTGTGCTTCCTGCAGTCTCTTCCCACGGCTTCCCTGAGGCTCCTCCAAGCTCCATGCCCATCCTGCAACTTCAGATGCACACCCTCATCTCTCCTGCTTCCCTCCTGCTGCTTAAGCTATTCCATCCCGCCAGGGGCCGTCCAAACTCATCTCAGATGTCCCCTCCTCCTAGCAAGGCCCCCGCCATTTCTGAGCCCTGCTGGTGTCTGGCACCCCATGACTGAACTCAGCCCAGGAGCTGTGCAAGGAAATTTCCCCTGCCCCACTGTGCCCCTCGAGCTCACGAGCACCAGGCCATCAGCATGGGCCTGCGCAGGCCTGTGCGGGGGTTCTGGGATGGGTAGTGAACCGGGCAGAGACACTGCCCAGCAAGGAAGCCAGGGTGAAACAACCAAGTCCAGAAGCTGTGCCAGCAGAGCAGAGCAATCTGACCTGTTTGCACAAAGCTTCCCTGCAGACAGGAGGAGAAACAAGTGCCCAGGGGCCCCCAGAGGGCAGATGCCCAAGTGCATAATGGGAATGAGCTTGGGCTGAATTCTGGCAGGAACTATAAGTGGAACTTGCAATGCTCTCTGCTTAAAAAAATCTCACTTTTAGGAAATCAGTGCATTCCTAAAACTTACAGGAATAGCATTTGCTGTGTTTTTAACAATATGCCTGTTTAAAGAAGCCCTCACAAAGCAAACAGGGAGCCAAAGCTTTGGGGCCCAGAGGAGAAGACTGTGACGGAGGATTCCCGGGGTGCAGTGCTGTGATGGAGGCTCACCTGGAAGCTCACTGTTCTTGCCTTTGTCAGCCAGTTCCAGAGACCCCAGGCTAGTCTCCGTGGCCGTGCCTGTGGCCTCCATCTGCTGCAGTATGGCCTCCACGATGGGCACCATCATGGCAGTGGTGGCCGTGTTGCTGATCCACATGGAGAGAAAGGCCGTGACACCCATGAAGCCTAGCATCAGCCTGCAGAGGAGGGGAGGGAGGAAGGACAAGCAAGGAACCCTGGCCCTTGGGAGCAACACCTGCAGGGATGCTCTCGCACAGCCTGAGTGCAGAGGCCAGTTCAGTTCCGGGGGATTCAGGAGGGGATTGGGTTTGAATGCCCCCTTTTCTCTTCCTCCTTCAATAGCACTAATCTCACAGCCAGGATCACTGTGTGGCCTCTCTCAGGCCCAGCTGTGGTCCCAGGAGCACCCTCACTTCCTCCAGCAGGAGAGGCACCAGCATTCAGATGGACTCGCCCAAGGTGGGGAGCTGGACCAGATACAGTCCTGTAGGTGACCTGGAGCAGCATCAGCCTCTACTTCTATCTGGAAAATCCCAGCCAATTCCTGCCTCCCTCTCCCATGTTCAGAAGGTTTTGCCAAAAGGGTGGGAAGGGAAGGGACCTGAGGAAGGGGTGCTGAAGCCTCTGCCCTGCCATCTCATTCCTTGCTTATCATGGCACACACTTTGTGGCCTTCTGCTCTGCTATGAACCAGGTCAAACAAACAGTTCAGGAACATTGCTCCTTTCATTCACAGCACCCCATCTTCCACCTGTTTCACCTATCATCTACTTAGAAAATTCCCATGGTCCTTCCAAATCTGCTCTGTGGCCTTTCCAGTGATCTTCCTCCTTTTCTGATCTCCCTCCAACATGCATCAAGGGTTGGATTCAAAGGGCCTGTTTCCTTGTCTGTCCTCTCTTTAAATTCTGAGCAGGCCAAGAGTCTGATTCTCCATGGGCCACCCCCACCCTTGTTCTCCTGCATAAGCAAGGGGCTCTGGAGGGAGTGGCAAATGGAACACAACCGTTCTACCATTCTCCAGTCTCTGTGTTACATAGAGCCATGGTCCAACCCAACTCATGAATGTGTCTGATGAGGGGAGACTAACACCCAAGGATATTAGAGATAAGTACCAGGAGATTTACTCCATGGCTTGGAAGCCAGCTTCACATGCTGGGGGAAAAGACAGCTCAGATAGAGAAGGGACCACCAAGTAAAAGGTATTTAGAGATGGGATGGGAGATGCATGCCGAAAGTAGACTATAGACCAAACATGACAGCCATTCAATACTTGCATTGCAAACCACAACACCCTAAAGGGGGGGGGGGGGAGAGAGAGAGAGAGAGAGAGAGAGAGAGAGAGAGAGAGAGAGAGAGAGAGAATAAAAGGGAATGTGCCTGTCACAGAGGTGGAGGATGGGAGGGTGGGGTGGGATGGGGGGAATGGGAGGGATACTGGGAACATTGGGAACATTGGTGGTGGAGAACAGGTACTGGTGGAGGGATGGGCACTCGACCAATGCATGACTGAAACATAAGCACAAAAATTTGTGAGTCTGTAACTGTACCCCAAGGTGATTCATTAAAAAATAAAAAATAAATAAAAATTCAAAAAAGAAAAAAAATCACCATATGAGATATTAAAAAAAATAAAAAGAAAGTGTCTGATGGAGGAGCCTAGGGGCATCCCTGCACCAAGGTTCAAGTTGGTGTTCATGCAGATTGACCTCATAACCCCCCAAGAACAACAGTGATGTACACTCAGAGGAGACCCTGAGTTTATATGATTAATGTTCATATGATTAATGTATCCAAATGGTACTTCAAGGTGCCAAGAGGCCCTCAGCATGCAGCTGAACCCAGGACAGGCAATGTCATGGACAGCAGGAAGCCATGGTCAGCAGGCATTGGGAAGGGGAATGGAAGCAATCTGGGAACTTCCCGGCCTTGGGAACAAATGACCTACAACTTCCCGAAGGAGGTCGATGGGAAAATGCTGAGAATAAGAACTATGAGGCTCCACAGTTTTAAAATCCCAGGAAAATGTAATGACTTTTGGGGTCTGTGGGTGCAGTGTGAACCACACTGGCATTGCAGTAGCCTGGCTGTCTGTGCTGGGGTGGGGCTCCTGGAGGTGCATAAAGAACTATATGCAATACCAGGGTTGGCTACGTGCAAAGCGAGTCCTTTAACTCTGTACTATCTCTCCAGTCCCCCCCCCCCCCCCCCCGCAGTGCAGTGACTTTGATTTCACCCTGCACCCATCACTGGAGAAAACTGATGCCATAAAAGGATTGAAGCCTTTGCTCAAGAGACAGGAGGCCCTTGCTCAGGGAGCCTGCACTCTGCGTGCATCGGATCTCATGCAGTGGTTGACGTGTGTACATACAGGATGAGCTCACTGGGAACCAACCAACCCCAGCTTCCCAGGGCTTGACTGGGGCCCCATCCCTGAGGGATGGCACTGCCTCTGAGTTCCTAGTGGAGGTACAAGGCCGCAGACAGTGCTTGCCCAGTCCCATCAAGTATGACTTACCCCTCTGCCCAAGCCCTCTTGATTTACAGGGTAGGGAAATCTGTTGTTCTGCCAAGAACTATCCGGTTATTTATAACTTCATTCACAGGCCATACAATACAGGCAATGAGAGAGGCAGCCACCAAGAAGCATGTACCACACATCTGTTCCATCATGTGCTGGGGCCAGACTTCATGATGTCATAAGCTTTCTACACTTGTGGCTCAGAACCTCCCATCACTGTGTTGCTGGAATAATATTCAACTCCCAGAACCATGGCAAGTGAAATAAGGTAAGAAGTAAGGGCCAGGGAGATGGCTCGAAGGGCTAGAGCACTTGTTTTGTATGCAAAATCCTCGTGTTAAATCCCTGGTACCGCATGGTCCCCACATACTGCCGGAAGTGCCTTCCAAGCACCACTGGGGGTGTCCTTACCACTCGAAAAGAGACAAGAGATAAACTCCCAGTTTTGTGCTGGACCTTGCAGATGCCCAGTATACCTGAGTATACCTGAGTATACCCAAATATATCCGGGTTTCTGGTTCTGTTTCCTTCCTGGTTTGGCCAAAAATGTTCATGACAGATGGGGAAGATCTGGGAGACGGGTAAGAAGTAGAGGTTCTGAGTGATAAGCAGGAGTTGAGATGACCAGCTTCTTCATGGGGAGAAATACAGGTGCCACATGAGGAGGAATGACTAGACAGGTGCTTCCCTGGCACAGTGACAACAGTGCCCACTCTGGTGTGGCTTGTTCCCACCTGCACCCGTCTGTTCCCTGTGAAGTGCCTGCAGCTCTGACCCAGGATGCCTCCTGGACATGCAGGCGTCAGACTTGCTGACCTCGATTCTGGATTCAGAGGCCCCTTCCCCATTGCTGCCCCTGCCCACTAGCCCAGGCCCCTTGCCCCCAGTGCATCTCATCTCCTCAGCTAAGATAAGCACTACCCCGCCCAAGAGTCCCTCAGGAAGTCACATGGCCAGGCCTCACTGCAACTGTGCCACGGTCCCTCCCAGCCCTAGGCCCATTGCAAGAGCAAGGAGGCATAATTACTGTGCAGGCCGGGCGCCCACCCAGAGCAGCGTGCGCAGGGCGATTCTCTTGTGCAGGTTCCATCGCTCCACGGCCACAGCCACCATAAGGCCACCCACAAACAGCATGTTGGTGTCCTTCATGTACTGGATACACACCTGCAGGATGGCAGGGGCGGCCTTCAGGGCTGCTGTCCAGTCCCACATGGGATTCAGTGTCAGGTCCCAAGATGGGGAACAGACCAGACACTGAACTCAGGGAGCGTTGGGAGTGGGGATCGAGGGTCTGGAGGATTGTCTCCATGCTATGCCTCAACTGGGCTGCCCCACTGCCCCTGAGACCACACAACTCTGAGACAGTCTTGGAGAAGGAGCCAGTGAGGGAGGTGGAATGGTAGGGACCCTGGGTGCTCACCTGCTTGGAGTCCAGAATCTTGAAGAGTGGGAAGAGCAGGGCTGGCATGAGGGAGGTGACAGCCAGAGGGATGACTTCCGTGCACCAGTAAATGGCCATGAGGATGATGACGTAAGCACACCTGACAAACTGAAGCAACAGTCTTCAGGCCAAGCTCCACACACTGCTGTCCTCCCCACTCACCCAGGGCGGCTGTGGGCAGGGGTCACTGAAACAAGGTGGCCTCAGCAGAGGGAAGAATCCTCTCTGTGTCACCCTGCCTCCAGGCCCCTTCTGCAGAGCCCTCTAGGTCTGGGACATACAGGAGGACCCAGCAGCACCTGACCCCGCCTCGCAGTCTCTCTTCCTCACAACCTTGGTCCTGTTACCTCTGGGAAGGAAGAAGAGGACGAGGATAAAAGCAGGGAAAGGCAGAGGAGGAAAAGTGGGGGCTGGGAAAAGGGGTTAGAAGAAGAAAGGGTAGAGATCAAGAGAAGGAAGATTAAGGAGGAGGAAGAAAATATTTTTGGAAGAAAATATTTTTATTGACCTGATCTAAGTCAGTCCAAGGAGACAGCACAGCGGGTAAAGCACGCTGCCAACTGGGGTTTGATTCCCAGCACCCCATATTGTCCCTCGCACACCACCTAGAGCGACTTCCTGAGCAAAAAGCAGGAGCAAGCCCTGAGTCGCACCAGGTGTGCCACAAAAAACAACAAGAAAATTAAATATTTTTATTGTTGTTTTGGCTTGGGGCCACACCCAGCATTGCTCAGGGGCTACTCCCAGCTTGGGACTCAGGGGAGTGCTGGGGTCCAACCCAGGGCTCCCACATGCTAAACCTGCACTCCACCCACTGAGCTATCTTTCCAGCCCAGAATTAAAGTCACTTTGAAACATAAAAACAGCTTTTTTCCCCATTTTGTTAATAAGGACATTTTTTCCATTTTCTTACTCAAGACTGTTTCTTTTTTCAAGTTGGTATCATTTCAACTGGTATGTGGGAGTTGGGGGGAGGAGGAGGAGTTGTTTGTATTCAGGTTTTTCTCCTGGCTCTGGACTCAGGGTTCACTCTTGGTGGTGCTCCCTGAACCATATTCAGTGCTGAGGATCAATCCTGGGTTGGCCCAGGGCAAGCATCTTCCCCATTCTACTAACTCTCTGGATCCGCCAATCACCATTTTTAAAACTGCAAACATTCCATACGTTTGACAGATGGGTTCACTTCTTCATCCTCCAACAGTAAAGTAAAAGTAATTTCTGCTCCATTCAAAGCATGCTGAGATCTCACTTCTTTGGTTCTCCTCTATTATTTCATTTAATTTTTTCGTTCTCTCCCCAGGGTCCCCAAGACCATGGGGCTTTCAAGATGGCCTGGGAGCATGTGGAAGCTTAGAGACTTGGAACTCACCCCCTTGCCCTTTCCAGGTTGGTGCCTTAAGCCACTAAGCCACCTTCGGAGGCCACTGCTACACCTGTTTTAAATCAACCTGGAGAAGGGCTCCTGAGGCACAGCCTCCAACTTCTGATGTCTGTTTCTCATTTCCATTGGTAGGACTGCTACAACCTTCCCTGTTCCTATTCATCCATATAAACCACTTCATTAAAAAATTGCCAGCATTGGGGCAGGCCGAGTTCCCACCCTACTGAAATCCCAGCAGCTCACCCCAAACCCCACAAGCACTGAAATTAGTCATGAAGATGACTTCATGACTAATTTCAGAAGAGGTTCCACTTAATTCCAGGCACGAGGGTCTTTGGGTTGAAAACTCTGCGCCTTCTCAGAGTGGGAGCGGGCAGTCTCCCCCACCACCCCAACTTCCTGAAGTCCCAGCAGCCACACTCACACCCCAAAGCTTCTGACCCAGCTTCACAGCTTCATAACAAACCAAAGAATCATCTCAGTTCTATAGCTCCTGGAGCTGCAGACACACATGTGGCCATACGATATCTACAAATTCCCCAGCACCTATAGCCCAGTAGGAGCACAGCAAACTAGACAGGGAAAGTAGCACAGAAGCCCACTAGGTTCAGGAATCAGAAAAATAACACAGAAGGCTCAATTAGTCACAAACAGCTTGATTTTGGTTATACAAAGTCAGACAATGACTTTATAAATACCACTGTGCAATATAACAATTTTCACAAATTTTTAATTTAATCTTTTTTTAATATATATAATTCCATTTGCCATTTTGTTGTAAAAGCACTGTAGCACTGTCCTCCCGTTGTTCATCGATTTACTCGAGCAGACACCAGTAACGTCTCCATTGTGAGACTTGTTGTTACTGCTTTTGGCATATCAAAATCGCCGTGGGTAGCTTGCCAGGCTCTGCCGTGCAGGCAGGATAGTCTTGGTAGCTTGCCAGGCTCTCCAAGAGGGACAGAGGAATCAAACTCGGGTCGGCCGTGTACAAGGCAAACACCCTACCTGCTGTGCTATAAAGGCAGAAAAAGCAATAAAAATAAGTATTTTTATTGTAAAATTAAAATTGTTGTAAAAAGCAATATAAAATAAATATTTTCTGCTAAGAGGGCAGGCTGGGAGGGGCTGTGGGAAACTGAGGACAAGGGTGGAGGGAGGGTCACACTGGTGGTAGGATTGGTGCTGAAATGTTGAATCCCAAAATAATTTTATTATTAACATCTTGGGCTGGAGTGATAGCACAGCAGTAAGGCGTTTGCCTTGCGCGCAGCCAGCCCGGGCGAGCCAGGTTCGATTCCTCCGCCCCTCTAGGAGAGCATGGCAAGCTACCGAAAGTATTTCGACCACACGGCAAAGCCTGGCAAAGCCTGGCAAGCTACCTGTGATGTATTCAATATGCCAAACACAGTAACAACAAGTCTCACAATGGAGACATTACTGGGCCCGCTCGAGCAAATCGATGAACAACGGGAAGACAGGACAGGACAGATATGAACAACTTTGTTAACCATGGTGTTTAAAGCTAGCAAAATAAAAAAGAACTTGCTCGCTTTGAGTTACTATATGACCCAGAATTTTAATTTCTACCCCAAGGATCTGAAAACTCAACTTACAAAAGACATCTGCACTCCTATGCCCATTGCACTATTCACAAATAGCCAAAATCTGGGAGCAACCCAAGTGTCCAAAATCAGATAACTGCATAAAGAAACTATAATAAAACAGAATTCTACTGTGAGATAAGAAAAACTGAAATCATAAAATTTGCTGCCACGTGGATGGAGCCAGTGTATCATGCTGAATGAAGTCAGTCAGAAGAGAGGCAGATACAGGATGATTTCTCTCATATGCAAGATATAAGGAAACAAAGGGGAAATAACATGCTCAAAGGCAACAGAAACTGAGAACTTGTCTTTAGTAGGAAGCTTGCATGGGGTGGGGAGGGTAGGTGAGGGACCTTGGGATAATGGTGGAGGGAAGTACACATGAGTGGAGAGGGTGTGGTGCTGGAATAGCTCATGTATGAAATCGTACTAATAACAGTTTGTAAACCACAGAGCCCAAAATAAAAATTTTTCTTAAAAAATAGAAATTGCCGGCATGGAGAGCTTTCATGGTTGTCTTTCAATGCTATTTGAGAATATGCGACTTGGTGTCCTTAGAATGTCTCTGGCTGCAAAAGGCCTCAAGCTTTACCTTCCGCATTTAATTTTCTGTGTCTATTCAGGTCCCTGAGGTGTGAGGGCTGTGGGATTTGGCCTTGGAAGAAGCAGGCCTGTGTGCCAGTGCCAGTGCTCGTGACGCTGGTCTCTTCCTTGCTGCAGGACTTTGGTCAGTGATTGAACCTCTCCAGTCTCAGTCTCATTACCTATTAAAATGTGGATAAGAATACCCAGCTCTCTAAACTCTCTCATCAGCACTTTTTAATCATAATCATTTGTAGAGGACAATTTGCGAGTGAGAACAAGGTGAAAAGGAAATGTCACAGAGGATCAAGTCAGCTGGAAAGTATCATCTGTGATGCCCCGTTCCTCTTGCCCACCCACCTGGCAGCCTCTGAACTGGGGCAGACTGAAGACTCCAGAGCCAAAAAATCAGATTTGCTTGTAACAAAAGTAAAGAAAAAGAGAGTTGGTGGTTGGGCACAGGGGTAGGAAGAGGGGAGGTTGGACCATACCCAGTGGTGCTCAGGAGTTATTCCTGGCTCTGCTCTCAGGGAGCACTCATGGAGAACTTGAGGGATCACATGGGGTTCTCGGGATAAACCTGGATTGGCGGTATGCAAGGCAAGCACCCTACCAGCTATACTACTATCATTCTGGTGCCCCAAATCATTCTTTATGATAATGCTATCTCCTTCTTCTACTTTCTTATACAAAGCTGGTTCTGAGAGATAATAATCTGGGGATATGGGTCAGTGGTTATAGCCATAGATCCAAAACAAATACTCAACAACACTGAAAACATAAGATCTAAGCTACAACCACTGAGACTCTGCAATGCACTTGCCAAGTTGACAGGTAGGGATGGGGAAGGAATATGGGAACACTGATGGAGGGAAGTTGACACTGGTGGTGGGATTAGTGTAAACTCAACCATCAATAACTTTGTAAATCATAGTTCTTTAATAAGAAATGTGGAATATATAAAATAAAAAAACCTGTTTGGTTAGGGCATCCTTCATGCCAGGCTATTTTCTCTGGACAAGTCCTCAACCTTGAAATAAGAACTCTGAAAGTCAGTTTTCCTTTCTTCCATAGAGCAGTGATTCGCTGTATTCAGCAGCACCATAAACCAGTCCTCACCCCAGCCCTCCAGAGAAATCAGTCTCCAACACCTGGAGCTTTTGTGCCCTGATTCTCTGGCTTCCTGCGCCTCCTTTTATCCCACAACCTTTTCTTGGGCAGATCACCCCTGCCTGAATGTGATAATCAACCTCCGTTTGTGTGTGTGTGTGTGTGTGTGTGTGTGTGTGTGTGTGTGTGTGTGTGTTTGGTGCTGGGAATTGAACTCAGGGCCTTACTCGCAAGGTAAGTGCTCTGTCACTGAGCTATAACCTCCCTCCCCTAGTTCTCATTTGATCATTCAATTTGTATGGTGCCACACTGACATACTACACACACACACACACACACACACACACACATTCTCTTTTGCAAATCCAATCATCACTTCTTTTGCCACCAGGACAAAAGTCAAGTGTCCCAGCCTGACAGGAGTTCTC